TATTATATATATATGTATATATGTGGTACACTAATTAGAGAGATCACACGTCTTAATTAAAAATTTAAAAGACTATTCTCTAGTACGTTGAAATTTTTCATTCTTTTTTTTTTCCTTTTTTTTGTTGTTGTTGTTGTTGTTCTTGTTTAAGTATTGCCATGAAATGTCCTTTTTTTTTTATTTTTGTTTTTTTTTTTTTTCTTTATACCGGTGGTGATTTTTTTCCTTTCCTTTCTCTTTCCTTTCCTTCATTAATATCCCCATGCAATTTTATTTTAAAAGGGATTATCATTTAGTCATCATTTTGTAGTTTTTTGTGTTCTTATTAAGTCCTTTCCATGTTAAAAACGTTGTACGTGTTCTTCTTTACATGTAATATGTATGTATGTATGTATGTATGTGTGTGTTTATGTATGTGTTTTCAATGATTTTAATATTTCGACGATCTACTCCTATTGACTATCCCTATTTAAATTCTAACTCTAAGATGTCTCAGCCTTACTTCCACGTTTCCCTCCTCATTTTCGTTTTATGCTTACTTTATATATCAGCACCAATCTGATTTTAAAACTGATTCAAAATATCGTCAATATTAGTTAGAATAATAACCTGTCGTCGGTATAAATATACATTCAAATTATTATTATTATTATATTTTTATAGTATACAAGTGTGTTTTTGTTGTACCTCTTCTATTCCCCCCTCCTCGAGACCAAAAAATCGTCATCGTTCAAAATCGGCCCTACCGAAAAATTCTATTGGCTCCGCACGCTTATTTTTTTTTTTTTTACATGTATGGTGTATGCATGTAATAATGTACGTATTAATGAATGAATGAATGAATGAATGAATGAATGAATGCATGAATTAATGCATGTTTATTTGTAATAATATGTGTGTAAGTGACTGTGGGATATAATTGTATGTATTGGTAGGAACAGGATGATGGGTTAAGGGTGGTGGGTGGTTGGGTGGGGGTATGGGGTTGGGGGAATACGTAGTCCTCTTAAATCCTACCTAATCTTACACCCTTTGCTTCCGTTCGTCATCCAATCCCCCTCTTGTCCTCTTATGCACTTTACCTTTCCTTTTTTTCAATTTCTTGTCATTTTTCTTTATCTATTTTCTTTTTCTTCCTAACGTAGGGGGTCACACACCCCCTCCCTCTCTCTCTCTCTCTCTCTCTCTCTCTCTCTCTCATTCTCCTATGTCAGATTCACGTCTTTCGCACAGCATCACATTCACGCCACATTCGAAGCTACTGAATTACGTCAATCTTTTCTGGTTGCATGATTTTGCTCTCTCCTTTTCTCTCTCTTTCTTTCTTTCTTTCTTTCTTTCTCTCTTTCTCTCCTCTCTTCCTTAAAAAAGAGAACGGTTTATACATACAAAGATATATACAGGAGACGTGTACGCGTATTCTGGGTCTCTCATGGTCTTGTTTATCCTTACTTTTTGTTGCATGCCAAATTCATTCCCACTCTCTCTCTCTTTCTTTCTTTTTATATGTATATATTGTTCTTTGGAGAAACATAGGCAAGAAGTTAAATATCGATATCATAATCGATAAATCGAACAATGTTCTCTCGAGCCTATTTATTTGATTAGCGTGTTTCATCACGAGTCCTCATTTATCAAATATAATTTAGAATTTATATCCCGAAATTGAAAGAAAAACGAGACACGTTTTATTTGTTTATAATTCGAACGAGATATACATTGAAAAAAAAAAAAAAAAAAAGATAAAAAAACAACAAAGTACGTACGGAGGAAGAGACGAGAGATTATTAATCGATCGTTGGTCATCTTTCTTCTATTAAAAAGAAAACCGACGGTGACTCGGTTGCGAAAGGAAAGGTCGACACGAGTGATAATTAGGGTTAGACATGATACATGGGAGAACGGTTGGTTGGTAATAGGTGTGGGTGGATAGATGAAAATAAGATAGTCGAGGAAAAGAAGGATTGATCTTAAATAGATCTAAATCTTCTTATAGATTTTCTCTTAGATGTTGATATAGATCTTCGTTGGATCCTGTTAGGATATTAGGAAATGCGTTACTGAATCAGTTGCTGTTGTTGTTGTTGTTGTTGTCCGCATCTGTCGATGGAGGTTGTGGTGACGTTAGAGGTGGTGGTGGTGGCAATGGTTGAGGCGGTGGCGACGACGGCGGCGACGGGGTCGGCGGTGACGGTGGATGGTTCAGCCTCGAAGCGATGATGAGCAAAGGATCGCTGAAAGGACAGCGGTATTCCTGCTTGCTAGTAGGCGGCAGGATGGACGGTTAGTCACTGTGGCGGGAGCCCGCTAGGTGGTTTGAACTCGCCAGCCACGGATACCCCGTTCGTCTGACCGGGGAACTGTGCAGTCGATACCGGCGGCTGATGATTGAACGCGGGCGCGTAACACTGTGGAAAGTATAGCTCGGGTTTGACGACAGTTGGTGTTAGGCCGCGCGGTACCGGCACGGGTCCTAAACCGGTAGGCGTACCGGGTGGTTTCGCGTCGCTGCTCGAGTTCCTACGCACCTTCGCCGCATGGGGATTCATATGGTTGTCGATGTGCTTCTTAACCTCCGGCTCTGTCGCAAAACGTCGCCTACAATTCGGCATCGGACAGCAAAATGGCCTATCACCTTGGTGGGTTCGCGTGTGCTGATCCAATATCGCCTTTTGACGAAAGTCCTTGCCGCACTGTTGACACTTGTATGGTTTCTCTCCCGTATGTATGCGCAAATGTTGATTCAATATCGTACGTTGTCGAAAATTACGGCCGCAGTATACGCAACCGTATGGCTTTTCGTTCGTATGAATGCGCAAGTGTTGCGTTAAATGTGATTGTTGTCTGAACCTTTTGCCGCATTCCGGACACGGATACGGTCTCGACTCTATGTGTATGCAACCGTGCTGCAGGAGAGTCGATTTTTGTTTAAATTCCTTTTGACAAATCGGACAACGAACGTAAAGCGGCATCCCCGCTGAACGACCGTGTTGTATAACGTCCGGTAAACAACCCTTACTACCACCTTGTTGTTTTATATATTGCAATGCGCCGAAACTGCTGGAACCACCGGCACCGAACACTGCATGATTACCGCCTTTCGGATCTTTGAAGTATGCCGGATACTGGATTGAATTAGCGTCAGGCGCTGGACTAAACGCACCCGATTGCGTGTCCGTGTCGCCAAAGGTCGACGCTACCTCCTCCTTCCCTTCCTCTGGTGGAAATGGTACGTCTTGCGGCCAAAGGGTCGGCGTCATCCCGTTCTTGAAGATAAGATGCGGGCTCACGTCTGAAACGAGAACGTTACCTTCGTCATTTGGACTCCCCTCATCTCTCTCCTATATATCTTAGCGACCTAGGAACGTTATTTTCTCCATAAGCGTAACGCGTCGAACCAGAGATCCGATAATAATTTGCGTTCGTACAAGAAGACAAGAGGCATATGTTAGAGAATGGAAAGGAAGTATGGATAGGTAATAAGAAGGGGTATGGTAGGCAGATAAGGTCGGCATGGTAGGTAGGTGGGTAGGTAGGTAAAGTGGAAATTTAGTAGCTGTGGAGGAATCCGCAAGGATTAGCATTAAAGAGCATTCTTTCTCTTCTCCGTTTCGCGGCTCGCTTTTGGTCTGCTCGACGAAAGAAAGAAAGAAAGAAAGAAAGAAAGAAAGAAATGTGAAAGAAAGATAGTGAACAAATGAGAGAAAGAGAGAGAGAGAAAGAGAGAGAGAGAGAGAGAGAGAGAGAGAAAGAAAGAATAAGAGATGCAGGGTCGTTAGTCGTCCCGTCGTTAGAAACGATCGTTATAAACGTTATGATGGTGTAGCAAAGGTGGATGGGTAGCGACCGTGGGTGGTTGCGACCGTGGATGGACACCCCCGTTTGGGAGTCTGGGAGGCAGAGAGAAATGCTCGCCTTGGTGTGTGCGGACGTGCTGATTCAGGATCGCCTTCTGACGGAAGTGTTTTCCGCACTCCGGACATTGGTATGGCTTCTCACCCGAGTGGATGCGCAGATGCTGGTTGAGGATGGCACGCTGTCGGAACGTACGCTCGCAGTATACGCAAGCATAGGGCTTCTCGTTCGCGTGTATGCGCAGGTGCTGGGTAAGATGCGATTGCTGCCTGAACCGCTTCCCGCATTCTGGACATCCGTACGGCCGACTGTCCGTATGAATCCGCTCGTGCTGTAGCAGTGTTGACTTTTGTTTAAAGTCTTTGCCGCATGTAAGACATTTGAAGAGCCGTAGATCGCTGTTAGCCCCCTTTGACGATTTCCCACTTTGTTGTACGATATCTGGTAGACCTGTCGCCATGTTTGGCGCACCCGGGCTCGCGTACTGATGAGCTTCGAGACCACCGGGTCCCCCATCACCCTGACCAAGAGACGTCAGCATCACCCCGGGCTGCTTCAAATAATGTAACGCCGAAAAGCCGCCTGGCGTTAGCATATGTGGCGGGACGGACGGTGACGGGTGAGGCCTTGCCTCTTTGAAATAATGTTGTGGATATTGTTGCAATTCCCCCGCACCTGGAAAACAATCGCTACGATCCACCTCGTGCGGCGTCAATTGTTGCTGCGGCGAGTGGTCCTGTTGCGATTGTTGTTGCTGTTGTTGTTGCTGTTGCTGTTGGACTTGCTGTTGCTGAACCTGTTGTTGCTGTTGTTGCGTCTGTTGTTGTTGCTGCTGTTGTTGTTGTTGTTGTTGTTGTTGTTGCTGTTGTTGTTGTTGTTGCTGAGAGGTGGTCTGATTAGATTGTATATCGTCCTCGGCCGGGGTTAAGGCTTGAGGCTCGGGAGGTGCCGAGGGATAAGGGGAGGGCACAGGGGAGGCCAACGAGGGCGGAGGACCGTTTTCTCCTTCGACGGGAGGACCACAGGCCTGCTGTGGACTACCAGACGAGGAGGAACCTTGCTGCTGTTGCTGCTGTTGCTGCTGCTGTTGCTGCTGCTGCTGTTGCTGCTGTTGTTGCTGCTGTTGTTGCTGCTGCTGCTGTTGTTGCTGCTGTTGTTGCTGCTGCTGTTGCTGCTGTTGAGGATACAGTCCTCCGTCCTGGAGAGATCCCGGCCCCGGGCCCCATTGCCCTTGGGGTCTCTCCATGTTATCCTTGTACAATACGTAAGGCGCGCCAGTATCTGTAATCAGGCAATTCGAACAATCGTTCATACTTACGTACACGTGTACGCCTAAAGATATTATATGATTATAATAATAATAATAATAATAATAATAATCTCATTACGCGAATAAAATGTATGAAATTTGTTTGATAATTGTTATTAATTATTTCATACGATATCGAATATTTATGACAAAAAAAAGCAGCAGGGATTTTTTTCTCATCGAATTCAAGAGATAAAAAAAGGGAAACAATTTTTTTGGTTCATAAATAAAAGAAACAAAAAAAAAAAAAAAAAAAAAAAAAAAAAAAAAAAAAAAAATAAAAAACATTAAACGTTAGGAAAGAGACACAGAAATTTTCATCAAAGGTATGCTCCACTTTCCCCTCGATTGACCTGCGCACCAATTGCGTGCACACC